GATCTCCTGGCCAGCGTTCTGAGCCTGGATGGCAGACACATCCCAGCCGGACCAGCCCTCGTTGCTAGTGTTACCGAAGTCAAATTCACCCCAGGTGCAGGAGTAACCGCCGTACTGGTCAGTGGGGAGCTTGTCACCCTTGGCAGCACCCCAGCCACCCTGAGAGTCATCGTCGAAGGCGACGTAGCGGGAAGTACCGGGCTTGATGGTCAGGGTTAGAGCAGAGTTGCCGTACCAGCCGTTCAGACCTCCATCGGGTCCTATCTTGTTCCAGAAGACGACGGTCCAGTCATCAGTCTCACTGCCGTCGATGCGGACAACGTGCTTGTACTGGCAGGCGTTCGAGGCGTCGACCTCGATGATGTTGCTACCCCAAGGGCTGCCGACATTGCCGGTGTAGTAGATGGCGTCGGTGGTGCGCTTGCTAACCGTGGACTTGCCGAAGCCGGCGCGAGAGTAATCGCCGGACGACAGGGTGTCGGTCCAGCTTGAGCAGGATCCGCTAGCAGTGGCTGCGCCGGAAGAGCTGGAAGCAGAAGGAACCGCCGAGACGGAGGCGATGACGGAGCTGGCGACGGAGACCTGGGTGGCGGCAGCTTCAACAGACACCTGAGTAGTGGCAGCCTCAGAGACGGTGGTGGCGGCGACACCGGACCACTCGTTGATCCAGGAGACCTTTTGACCGTCGATAGTAGCAACGACGACATCACCGACGTCACGCTTGTCGTTGTGGTGGTGACGGCGTTCATGGCCGTGCAGGCGAGCAGTAGCGGAGCCAGCCGTCAAAGCGGCCAGCAGGAGCATGGAGTTCTTGAGCTGCATGATGTTTGTGTTGATAGATATTGAACTGAATGGGTATCACAGGTGTTTTCTTGGAACAAAGCAACCGTTTCAGGGTACACGATTGATGAAAGAGAGTGAGTAGATTGGGAAGTAATGAATGACGCGAGCAATACCAAGGGGACGCTCAGCCTTGAAACAAACACACACAAAGGAGTGAGATGTGTACCCGAGAAGGAGAGCAAAGCAGTTGCAGAGCAAAGAGGGAGGGAGAGGAAGAAGAAGAAGGGAAGAGCCGGGGGGGAAAGAGGAGATAATAATAAGAAAAGCCAGAGGGGGGAACAGAAAGGCCAGGCCCAGATCGTAGAAGGGGAGTTTACCGTTCAGTTCGTTACCATCAATCCTTTCCTTTCACTCTGCATGGTTTTTCACTTTTCCCGCATCAAACGGTCCTCTTCGTATCAAGTTGGACCTGTAATTGGATTTCATTAAATTAAAAGGGGGTCGATCAGGGGAGTCACTTGGCTTTGGGGGCGATTGATTGGTTGTAGACGAGCATCGGTTCCTGAGCTTGCCGTTCGGATGCTGCAGGTTGGCTTGTCATTGGTGGATTGGACCCCACTTGGGGTCTAAACCCAAATCCTTCTTTCGTCTGCAAATACGGAGTACAGCATAGATACCTCGATATAGCATGGTTTGAACTCGATTTATTGACCCGGTAAACACAATAATTACCCACTTATTTTCTACCTTCGGATAAGGCCCGACTGTTAGTATACCCATCTAGCAAGAAGTATACCAAGTAACATGAACAGTCAATGGGAGATAGTTTATGCTTTGTAGGTCGAGACTCGCAATCCCTGGAACCGCCCCGCCGATCACGCCTGCCGTGGTACCAATACCGTACGGTGCCTGGTACCTTACAGATGCATCCAGGTTGTACTGGGTGCTGCATCGTGTTCAGGTACCCTCTCCAACTCATCCACACCGTCTCTTGAGTTGTCGGTGATGCTGAGGACCTAAGCCTGTCAATAATCCACAGGAAGTGAATTCCGTGGATCTCTTCGCCCAACGATCGATCAGTGGACGCCTCACACGATAGGGCGGGGTTTGATTAGATGCATGGAATCCAGTTGGAATGCTGCCCGATCGCAAGAATCCGACAGAGTAAATCGCAATGCTTATTGATACGTCATTCAGACAATTATCCTGTTGCTCGATCAATTTCACACACACGAACAAGTCACTCAACTTCCAGTTAATGTTGCTTGGTCGAATCCCGGCCTGGCTGCCGGTTACCCAGGAGAGAGCCAGCCTATCGCCACGTCAAGACCCACGTTGGACAGTGATTTGATCCGATGGACTGACAGTGGATAATATGTCGAGGGGAAAGAATGCAGGCCAGACCGTGAGATTGCACACACACACACCGTAAGACTGGAGCCTGCGTTTGGGTGGATAGGCAAGGAAGGGCAGTGACTTTTGCCCTCGTTGCATCCACCTTGAATCTTTACGGTAATTTTGGTATAGCTGGTATAGCCTCAGGTAAAAAAAGGCTTGCAGGACCCCTAAGGGTCCTGCTGTTTTGCCCACCAAGCGACCCTGAATGCCACGGCTTAACCCCAATTTGACCCTGCCGCGGACCCTGATCAAGACCCCCAAAATCCAGGGACGGCGGCAACCGGAATTCCAATCATCCTGCGCAGTCATGGTCAGCATCCTCAAACACCCAACACCAACCATCGAGTTGCTGTATGTATCGAATTCGCTGGTCATCCCATGCACCATCTGGTCCGCGGGCCACTAGAGTTTAGCACAGCGACAACTCGGTAATCTTCAGCCCGTGTCCGAGTCCACCCCAACTGTCATTGCCTGTTGTTGGCCCGTGACCGGCAAGTCTGGGTAACGATAGTCGCTTAATCCACCGAGGGGGTGCGACTTGCCAGGTTCTGGCCACCGAAAACTGGCTGGACTATCGAACGTTGTCTTGGATTTTAATGGCAACTAGTCTAGCTCTTGTACACATAAGTGAGAGCGTTATCCTATGCCGCTCTATATCTATACTACTTCTTCACATGTAAATAAATAGTGTTTCCCTGGGTCTCTGTCCCATGGATGCCGACGGAACCCCCTTCTCGGTTGGCAGGCGTTGATGACTTTCCAACAGTAAGCCACGTTCGGTCCTCAACATCAGCCGACCACTTCCTGGATGGGTAGACAATCTCCTTTTCGGCCTGGGGGCCCCTCTAAATTTAGAGACCAGCTGCCCTGTTCGAGACGAGGAGCGGATACTATTCCTGTCGCGGAGAGCGACTCGTCAGCTTCAATTTGGGGCCCGATGATCCGGGGTGACTAAGCACCTCCTTTCGGATCCCGTATCGTTGGCCCTAATTGGGATTAGACAATTGCCTGTTTGGTGCTCAGTCAGCACCATTCTGTTGCGACAATTCTTAGTAGTGAGTGAGCTACATCCTCATTCTGTCGCCATAACCTCGAGACGAATGGGCTCCATGTCTTACTGCTCGCCTGGATCAGATCAAGTCAAACATATTTACATCTATACAATTATGTACTAAACCTCAAACAGGTCCCCAGGGTATGTACTGAGCAAATCAATGCCGTCAAAACTACTTCAGGTCCACCCCTCCGTCAAAAGCAGCACCACCGGCCTGCGCATCCACCTTCATACTCTCGTCCAATCCACACACACGGAAGAGCATCTGTGGTGTCATCTCCTTGTCCAACCCAGGGATGCCGTCCCTCTTCAGCTTCTCCATCGCCTCGCGCATCGCTGCAACGGCAGGTCCCAATGCCGCGAACGGGAAGATGATGATGCGGAAGCCCATCTCCTTGGCCTCGGCTGCTGAGATCGACGGCGTGGCCCCATGCTCCACCATGTTCAGTAGCAACGGCCACCCCGCCAGGTCCTGAATCACTTGCCGGGCCATCTCCCTGGACGTAATCCCCTCGAGGAATCCAACGTCCGCGCCTGCGTCGCGCGCAGCCCGCAGTCTCGCGACACTCTCCTCATAGCCGTGGGTTTGGAGGGAATCTGTCCGGGCGATCACAACAATATCACTGCCAATCCGCTGGCGAGCCTGCACTGCTGCCCGGATCCGCGTCACGTAGGTGTCCGTGTCCACGAGAATCTTGCCAGCGAGATGTCCGCAGCGCTTCGTTTGTACCTGGTCTTCTATGTGGAAGGCGGCGACTCCGGACCGCGAGTATTGCTCGGTCGTGCGGGCGACCATGATGGGTCCGCCGTAGCCGGTGTCTGCGTCGGCAATTACGGGAGTGCTAGGGGAGATGTTGGAGATCATTTCAGCGTTGGCGCGCATGTCGTTGAGAGTGCAGATGCCCAAGTCTGCTTGACCATGGACCGAGGCAGCGGTACCGGCACCGGTCTGTAAAGAGGGATGAGCTGGTTGACCAATATTCGAACATAGTGACATTCGCCACTTACCATGTACAGAGCGTCGAAGCCCGCGGAAAGGGCGACACGGGCTGACAGTCCATCGTAGACTCCGGGGGCGACGATGAAGGAATCGGGGTTCTCGAGAGCCCGGCGAAGGGAGGTAGCTGCAGTTACCATAGGCATGATGCAGGCTTTGTAGAGGGAAACGTTGGTCAAGAAATGGCACCGTTCTATAGGAGTTGTAAAGGGTGCGCCGATGACGTCGAGACTTGTTGCTGGCGAGGAGGATGGTGCTGCTGGCTTTATAGACTTGAGATCGCGTGGGCTGACCGTTATCGCCTTCCACAGTCTCTGCACGGAGTATTCTATCTGTGATCTAGACGCCTTCTTTTGCCTCCGAGTCTGCGATTGAAGGAGAATTTAAAGGTGAAGCCCATGGGAGCCCACCCGACATCGGCAGAGGTTAGGTAATCACTCGGGGATGGTTCGGCATTTGAGCATGACTCGGTAGTAGCCGAATCCTGTCAAGTTGCTGCAGATCGTTGAATCGTCTATTCCCATAGTATGAGAATTTTTATCACCATTGGTGCTGTTCTTTTAGATAGCTGAAAGTATTCTTCCGAGCCCCTGATACTACATTATATCTCCCGTAGTCCGTAGTGCTGAGCTTATATCGCGGGCTGCAGGGATTCCAAAATCCACGGCCAACCAGCGCAGGTGATCGTCGGCTTTTTCTGCCGCGAACTCGAACTCCAACTGCACCTCCGTTTCTCTTCGGCTCTTCTTCTCCCCGCCACGTCCATTTCGCCTCCACATCCACTCTCCGCGCATGCAAGCATGATCTGAACTGTGAAGCGCCTCTTCTTCGTATCCGATCGGACCTCCTCAACTACATTTCCTCCCACAGCCCTCCGATATCGTTCCTCATGGCCCGCTCTGCCATTGTCCAAGAATACGCCCCTCCGTCCTCCGCACCCACCTTCTCCGTCGACCGCAAAGTCACCCACGAGCGCCAACAAAATGGCATTTCTCGCCCCAATGGATATCGCGTCTCCTGGCATGCCAATCCCGCCGTCGAACCACACCACTTTGGCCAGTCCCATCCCATGAAGCCATGGCGTCTGACCCTCACAAAGCAGCTGGTCATGGCCTACGGCATGCACCATGCGATGGACCTCTACCTGGCGCGCGCAGCCACCTACGAAGAGCTGGCGGACTTCCACAAATCAGACTATCTCGATTTCCTACAGCAAGTCGTTCCCGGCGATATGGAGAATCCTGAACAAAGCGAGAACATCGCGCGCTTCAACTTCGGTGACGATTGCCCCATCTTTGACGGCCTCTACAACTACTGCTCCCTCTACGCCGGCGGTACCATCGACGCAGCCCGCAAGCTCTGCAACAACCAGTCGGAGATCGCAGTCAACTGGTCCGGTGGTCTACATCACGCCAAAAAGGCCGAAGCCAGCGGTTTCTGCTACATCAACGACATCGTCCTCGGCATCCTGCAGCTCCTCCGCCTGCACCCGCGCGTCATGTACATCGACATCGACGTCCACCACGGCGACGGCGTGGAACAAGCCTTCTGGTCCACTGACCGTGTCCTCACCGTCTCCTTCCACAAATACGACAAGGACAACTTCTTCCCCGGCACCGGTGGCCTCGACAGCACGGGGCCCACCCATCCCCTCAACCCGGGCGCCCACCACTCCGTCAACGTCCCCCTCCACGACGGCATCGACGACGAATCCTACATCCAACTCTTCCGCGACGTCGTCGGCTCCTGCGTCGAAGTCTACCGACCGGGCGCCATCGTCCTCCAATGCGGTGCCGACTCCCTCGGCTGCGACCGTCTCGGCTGCTTCAACCTGAACGTCGCCGCCCACGGCGCCTGCGTCGCCTTCGTCAAAACTTTTAACCTCCCTCTCCTCGTCGTCGGTGGCGGTGGCTACACCCCACGCAACGTCTCCCGCGCCTGGGCTCACGAAACCTCCATCCTCATCGACGCCCAGGATACCATCGACCCTCACATCCCCGAAACCGTCACCTTCCGCAACCACTTCGGCCCTGACTTCTCTCTCTTCCCGCCCCTCTCGGAAATGCGCAAGCTCGAAAACAAGAACCCTCGCACTTATCTCGCCGGCTTGCTCCAGTCCATCCGCGAACAGCTTCGATACATCCAAGGTGCCCCGAGCGTGCAAATGAGCTTCATTCCTCCGGATATTCTCGGTCTTCGCGAAGACACGGAGAAGGAAATCGAAGAAGAGACAGCCATGATGGAGGAGGAGCGCGAGGAACGATCTGGTGGTGGTAGTTTAGGGAAATCGAGTCGACGGAGGGATTTGGAGAGAGGTGCTGGGCAGCGGGGGGAGCTTTTTTAAAACACCTCTTCCTCTTCATGCCCACGTACACACTCTTTTCTTTATTTATTGTTGTGTCTGTCTCGCATTTGAATATGTCTTTGGAGTTGGTGGGTTGGAATCTATTGGGCTGGATGATGGCGTTTTTTTCTACCTTGTCTAAAATTCATTTAATTGCGTTGTTTATACGTTTCTTCTTGGTGGATGGTGGGCTTTGGTTGTGTGCTACTTATAGAAAGTATACACCTGTATTAGAGGGGAGAAGGAGGAGGAGGAGTAGGTGGTGGTGGTGGTGTCATGATATCCATGTGTCTTGTATGTTACAGGTGCTAGAAGTGTCTTTAGAGAAGATGAAAAAAGAAACATCAGGACATATCGTCGGTATGGTTGTATAGCTAGCTAGCTAGCTTTATCTGGACCCTCAGTATGTAGAGAGATTTAAGGAACCCTTTCCCGGACCATAAAAGAAGAGATTAATGTTCTTCATATCGGAGTCTTTCAGAATGTATTGCAGGTTATAATCTATTTGAGATAGGTAGGCTACGAGGTGCAGGATTAAGATACATGAGAGGACAGATACTAGTTGAAAGTAATTGATAGTATTCCATTACTTAAGGATGAAACATTATTTGCATCTGATATAGATCTAAGAGATCTAGAATCATTCAAATAAGCCGACGCCGAATGCATACGTAGTGCTTATGCTTAAGCTTAGGCTGGACTATAGCCAAGCCAGTGTCCACAAAGCCGGCAAATGAGGCCATCTCTCCTGCCACTCAGCCAAGATATCAGGCACGCGAGCATCGAAATTCCGTCTCGCCTCACCGACTCCGTTCTCCCATCCATCGGCACCATTCGTCTTTCTCTCCTGCGAGGCAGCCTCGTTTAACCGATTCGCTAGATCCAAGATAGCCTTGCCTCCTACTAATGCCTCTTCGTGATTATCCTTAATATCCACGTTGAAGACATGCACGGGCCGGTTCAAGGGTGATCCCTTATTCATAAGATCGTCTACCACGGCATCCCAGCACCGTTCTTCACAGGTGATGATTACATCGACAACGCCGCCTTCAGTACCTAGGGCGCCCTTATCGCCCTTCGAGACGTGCTCGACGCGCGGCTGTCCCGGTACCCAGTCCTGGAAGCGCTCCGGGCCCCATTTCAAGTTACGGTTGCGCTCGAGCATGTTCAGGAGGCCGTTGTTGCGGTAGAGACGCTCGTCTTTGGAGAGCAGCTCGTCGTACATTTGAGAGTACGAGGTTGTGTTGAAGTTGTAGACGTTGGGTTGGGTGATTGAGGGCCCGGGCAGTCGGACTAGAGAGCCCGTCCCGAAGGAAATTACAGGGAAGGGACTCGTCGCTGTGGAGAGACGGAGGTGGGCTTCCATAGAGCGGTTCTGGTTGGAGGCGCACACGGTGCAGAATCGGAGTTTATATGATGAGGATGATGAGGACTCCGATTCTGGCACTGTGTTTTTGTCCTCGTTCGTCGTGGAGGTGGGTTGAGGTTGAGTTGTTGATCCCATGGCTTCTGGGGGTGGTGGGGGTGGTGGTGGAGGGGAGGGAGCGGTCGCAGTGCCTGCACTGGACAGTCGGGGGTCGTAGGCCATGGTGTTTGTTATAACCGCGTTTGGTGTGACCGTACCGTAGGTTAAGTGGTGTGATGGAATTCGGCAAGTGATCGTTGGGGTATCAAGGAGGCTGGAAGGTGTGTTGTTCACTAGTAGGGCCCTGTAATGACTACTGACAATTAGAATCCGCGGCAAAAAAAAATTTGTAGAGACTCAATGGCAGTGACAAAGAAATATAGTGAAAGGGGGTGCAGAATTCAGTAAATAGTTGCGTAAGTAATTAAAGTTTGTCCGCATAATGTGCTAAGACAGCTCCAATATATAAAGATTTCATCATGCTGCGGGGGAGGGTTGGAGTGGACTAGATAGATGCTTTGCATATACATACCTTAGAAGAGCCTCGCATCATATGCAATTCATTTACGCTGGTCTACTGGGTGTGGGATGGACGAGTTGATGAAGGGCCGCAGCCCTGAGTTGACAAGATGAAGAAGTTTGCGTCGGCGGATTTCGCGCGCCTTTTGTGGTCATGTGCGCTGACTCAGCCGCGTGCTGTCCCACTACGCCCGATTGGGACAGCTCGAGCTGTGGATGGCGATGGAGGCTGGGCATGATCTCATGCGCGAGAGTCGATTTTGGCTTTTAAGTGCTGGAGTGATTTCTATCTGCTTTCTGAGACTCACTCAGCTGCCTGAGATGAGTATCAACATGCGTTCCCTATCGACGCCATGATTGCCAGATGAGACTACTTCGCACCATCGAGCGGGGTCTAAGAACTAGTCAGGCCGTATGATACGATGATAGCTGCCTACAGTTCTCGCTTCTCCCAAAGCGACACTACTTGTCTGCATACATATCAAACCAGACTGGTCTAGCCACTGTAACGGAGCTTGGCTCTGACAAAGATCACGATACTAAATAACGTTGAAATTAAACAATAGCCACTATCCAAAATGAAGGCAGCCTTGATAATCGTCGACATGCAGGAGGACTTCTGCCCTCCGGTTCGTACTCTCCCCAACCCCCAACCATCGACCAACTCTATACTAACAAAACCAACCAGAACGGCTCTCTCGCCGTGCAAGAAGCCCGCGCCCTCGCCCCAACAATCAATACCCTTCTTTCCAACCCCGGCTTCACCCTCCGCATCGCATCCCAAGACAGCCACCCACCCAACCACATCTCCTTCGCCCCGAACCACCCACCACCCAACAACCTACCCTTCGAGCACTTCATCGAGATGAGAAATCCCGCAGCAGGCAAAGAAACCGAGACCAAGGCTCAACGGCTCTGGCCCGTCCACTGCGTAGAGGGAACCAAAGGCGCAGAGATTATCCCGGAAATCGACACCAAGAACATTGACCTCTACGTGCGAAAGGGCATGGATGCGCGGGTGGAGATGTACTCTGCGTTTGCAGATGCTTTTGGGAACCTCGATGCGGAGGTGAATCGGTCGTCGGTGGATGTACATTTGAAGGGGGCTTTGGAGGAAAATGGCATTACGGATGTGTTTTGTGTGGGTGTCGCCGGGGATTATTGTGTGAAGTTTACGGCGATTGATGCTGCACGGGCTGGGTTGAGGAGTTATTTTGTAGAGGATGCGGTCAGGTGTGTTGATCCGGGGGAGGGGTGGGAGGAGGCGAAGAGGGAGTTGAGGGAGGCGGGGGTGGTGATTGTGAGGTCGGATGGGCCTGAGATTAGATGGTTGGTTGGGGAGTTGTAGTGGTTGTTAGTAGATTCTTATGCGTATATGGAATATGGGATGTGATGGTCATTGCAAGATGTATGGAATACTTGACTTGATTACTGTATGTGTGTATGTGGTGCTCTTGTGCAGGTGTATACCGTCTTGGACTGAGCGTTATGGTCGGGGACTGAGCTATAGATAAGACAGACCAAGATGCGCCAAGTACTCTATAAGTAGGATTTAGTGGATCTAGACCACATGGCCTATAATGCCAAATATATAACAATTTGCTAGCCTAGCCATAACAATAAGGGAGCAAGCAACGGCCACTTGCACCGCCAAACAAAGAAAGGACCGTGGATAGCGACAAGTCCAACCCTGGCAGACAATCTGACAGGTCTCCACAGTGGAGTTGGCGGACGTTGCAACGGCTTCCAGATCACCGTCAGCTCAGAACAACAGAGAATGAGAAACGGAGATACTTTGAGTGTACGGAAAATCCGACGATATTCGCGTTGGGCTTATAATCCATCGCGTTCGATTTGATTAGTTATTCCCCTCTCCTTAATAACATTACCGTCAATCCCTTCTGAAATGGGCAGCGGGGCGTCGCGGCATCCCCATACTTTCAATAATCAATAACTCATCGCCACCGCATCCGGAACCGGTCACCGTTTATATCAGCTCTTACAGCTCTATTCGGTCGGTGCTTTTCTGTTCTTGCTTCTCTTCTTTCTTTTCACCGGTTCGTTTGTCTTACCTACTGCCTGCCTTATACATTAGATGCTGTTCGCTTTATAAACTCGGCCGTGGTTAGCTGGTCTCTTTTACTTCGCTCCAACACCTCCCGTCTATCGATTGAGTCAGACCATCGCCATGTCGTCTGCTGCAACCTATACTACCTTTCACGAGGGACTTAGGTCTCCGGATGTGAAAGTCTCAACCAAAATCCACAGCCCTGCAACCAATCTTCCTCCAAAACCTCTACCGTACTGGCTTGTCAACGTCCCCCGGTCACAATGGACAGCAGAATGTCCCAGCTATCTACGCGACACGTCGCAGAAAAATATCGAGGTGCTTTCGACCCCTGACGAGCAATACCGGAGACAGGGGTGGGAGCTAGTAAAGGAGATAGTCCGTATGTTCGACCGAATGAAGCCGTGCGTCAGGGGGAGGACGTGGTCCGTGAGTGGTCCGCTAATACATGATGGACAGGGTCCAACCAGATCGATCGGTTTCAGCGCCTTCCCAGCGATTTGAGGAGGTATCTCGAGTACAAGGAGCAGATTATCGCGGAGTATGGATCGATCATGCGGTTTGTGGTGAAGGAACGGCTTCGCTGGGGTGAAGGGACGGCGGATGATCTGAAGCCCAAGGGGCGGCCGTTTGAATATGATGGTTCGTATTCAGTTGTCTCCTTCTCACTGTTCAAATGAGTCTTGGACTGCCTGCGTCGAGATGAGATGAGTGCTAAGCATGGTTGTGATGGTCAGAGGATATCCGCATTCTTTACAATGACTGGCCGTATGGAGTCGAGGAAGGCATTGTTCACTTGGTGGTGTGGACAAAGTTCGAGCTGGAGGATGATCCGGTCACGGATGACCTAACGCCACGCGCACGACAGGAGATCGAGGAGTATGTGCAACGGACATTTCTCTCACGGATGCCAGCCGATCAGGTATGTATTGGCTAGAATGTTGGAAGGAATGCGCCGGGGGTGGTGCTGGGCGATGCTTTTTCTTGATGCTAATACGAAGGTAGGTCATCTGGTTCAAGAACTGGAAGTCATTAAAGTCAGTGCATGCCGTGGAGCATTTCCATGTCATGCTGCACCATCCCGAAGCGGAATTCCTACGGGAGATCACAGGAGGGGATGCTCCGCTGAAACGACAGTCGGCATGAGTAGATAGATGGATGGTTTAATGGTGAAGGGTTAAGGGTTAATCCGGCATAGAGATAGATGAGATGGAGCCCTAGGACTGGGATCTAAAGAAATAATACCAACCCATTATAGAGGCCAAGGGAGCGATCATCGGCATTGCTTGATGCTTGAAACATGGATTGAAGCGATGGGCTGTCATCCGTCATCCCCACCGCCAAGCCTGTGTGCCCCTCTTGATCGCGAGTCCAGCTGAAAAATTAACGGCGATCGGAGTGGAAGGCTGCGGTCTGTAGCATGAGAACCGACGAGGGGAAAGATATCATATACAGATAAGCCTTCTGGAAGATGCCGTGTCACCAACAAGAGTATAAAGCTGAGGCGAGAAGTGCCACAGTGTAAAGAAGAGCCATCATAGAAATCCGAATCAAGGCAGTCCCCCATCAACGTCATCCAGCTCCAGTTTCAGTAGCAATCATCCATCCGGAATCCCTCAGACTCACCGTCTCTTGTGTCCCCTGGAGTAGTATTTATTAATAGATAGAACTCCCGGCACTACTGCTTTTCTCATTTTCTGCAGAATTGGTTGTTGGTTTCAGGAACTGAACCCGACGCTGTCCGTACATCCCGACATTGAAGGCATTCTTTGGAGTTCTGTTGACTGTCTCTGCTGCCTTCTATCTACCTCCATTGCTCTAAATAATTTCGATTAATTTCGAGAAAAAAAGAGGAGCAGATCCTTCAAAGACCCCAAGTGACACCACAATTCAATTTCTGCCCAAACCCCTCGAGAATCGAGTCACTTTTGTGCGCTGCAGTCCGGTTGCATCGGTGTCTCCTCCACAACACCCTCACACCAGCAAAAAAGAACCAGAAGTACAAGACCAACCACCACCAGAGAATTGCTAGATCAATAAGCACACAGAACCACGGAACGCCATGCCCATCTCCGTCCCGCACATCCGCCGACGGTCATCGCTTACCAGTGAGTGAAGTTTGCTGCCGTCATCCGGTCGAGAAACTCCCCTCTTTCTGTGCTGCTGCTCCTCCCACGTCATTCCTGCTGGCTGCCTCAGTCCTTCTGCTGCTGGCTGCCTCAACATCTCTCCGCCCTTTTCTCTCTTCCCCTCCTTGGCTCTCTCCTCCGACCGGCTGTCTTTTCACCACCTCCCTCCCATCTCGCGCATTTTTGCTGCCACCATCATGTCTGCTGACTGGGGCTCTTTTTTTCATGTTTCAGGTAACCGTTCATCACACGATGAGCCCAAAGCTGAGCCCGTGAGCGGGGACGACGAGATCGTCGAGCCCGACCAGGGAAATGGTACGTAGCTGACCCCTCAATATCCCCAAAAGCAACAATGGAAAATAAATCGATCCGGAGCCTATACCACTGCAAATACGGACCTTTCCATTTCCGCTGACTTATCTGTAGTCCTTTCCCACATTATCTCTCAGCTCCGACCGGGAGCTGATCTGAGTCGGGTCGTCCTGCCCACCTTTATTCTGGAACCGCGATCTATGCTCGAGCGCATCACCAAGTATGTCAGAGTACCTGCGTCGCAAAATAAAAAGAAGTAGTTAACCGATTTCCTGTCTCCAGCTTCATGGCGCATCCGGAAACTTTGCTTCCTATGCCCACCATAGATGACCCCTTAGAACGATTCGTTTCCGTCGTCAAGTTCTATCTGAGCGGATGGCACATCAAACCTCCGTACGTTGCCGCTTCCCTTGAAACGCTGTACTTCCGCTAGCTCCAGCCTTGCTGACACCTGCCCCAGAGGAGTGAAGAAGCCGTTGAACCCTATCCTCGGAGAGACTTATACCTGTTACTGGGACTACCCTGATGGCACCCGTGGGTACTATATCGCCGAGCAGACCTCCCACCACCCGCCCAAATCGAGCTATTTCTTCATGGCACCCGAGCACAACATCCGGATAGATGGCACCTTGAAACCCCGCAGTAAATTCCTCGGAAACTCAGCCGCTAGTATGATGGAGGGCATTGCTATCCTGCGGTTCTTGAACCGCGGACAGGACAAGGAGAAGGGCGAAAGATAGTAGGTGGACCTGTCGTCTGCGCATGAGGACAACTCTAACCGGGCCTAGCATCTTGACGCAACCGAATATGTACGCCCGCGGTATTCTTTTCGGAAAGATGAAATACGAACTTGGCGACCACAGCTACGTGCGGTGCCCAGAGAACAACCTCGTTGCCGACATCGAATTCAAGACAAAGGGCTACTTTTCTGGTACTTATAACGCTATCGGTGGCACAATCAAGAACGAAAAGACCGGCGAGGTATACTATGAACTGTCCGGTCTCTGGAACGGCGAGATGCACATCAAGGACGTTCACGTGAGTTCTCCTTCCTTTCGCGAAGGACCGGCAATCTAACCTGAACAGACACACAAGAAGGATTTGCTCTTCAACGCTACGCATGCGAAGCATACCCCTCCGTTGACCAGACCTATTGAACAGCAGGGCGAGCGCGAGTCGCAGCGACTGTGGCAAAACACCGTGAAGGCTATCATTGCCAGGAACCACGAGGCGGCTACGGACGAAAAGACCAAGATCGAGGACCGCCAACGAGAAGAGGCAGCGAAGCGTGTCGATGATGGCGTTGAGTGGCACCCCCGGCTGTTCCGACGGGTGCAGGGCGGGCCCCACGGCCAAGATGAGGGAGAGGAGGACCTAGACTGGATTATCAATGCACATGTGTAAGTTGCTGCGTTTGCACCGACAGTTTGATGGGACTAACAACCTCCAGCGACTCGCATAACCCTGAGGTGGCAGCGAAACAGATTCTGGCCATTGCCCCGATTCTCGAAGGTCAGACAGAGCCCACCCAGTTCCAGATTCCCGCACACAAGGGTAAGGAGTCTGCTGCGACAGCCGATCCAGCCAACGGCGCTGACCCCGCTCAGAGCGAGCCTAAGAAAGAAGCAGAAGAAGCCGTCGAACGCAAGGACTCGCGGACATCAGATGTCGATGCCTACGTTGATGCCAAGGAGAAATAGGTGTAACTGACTCACTGGATGGCTCCAGTTGATGACGGCATGTCGTTGACCAAACTGGATATCCGGAGGGCAAGTGACCTATTAGTGGGGCACAACTTAGAAGAGCGAAAACCATGAAACTTCAAAGAACCGAAAAGCAAGGAAATGGTAGGTCGAGCCGTCATTCAGATCAACTTAATTGACCTGCTCGATGATTCCAACGCGAGAAACAAGGGAAAGAGTCCGGCCAACCACAACATTCAACACATAACTCAACATACCCACCATTTCCATCAGATCATTATACTGGATACCCGATTGATTTAATATGCAGAGACAATGCGACAAAAGTTGAAAAAAGACGGACAGGAGAAGGCCTGAAGACGGACCGGAGCACGGGTGATGGGCAATTCTTGCTTACTATATGTGGATACATATCATCATCTGGGATACCATGACGTGGATGGGCATTGATACAGCTAGCGTATAGGTGACTCATTCTTTAGCATTAATATAGACTATGGTTGCGGATAATGCATAATTTTGACTTGATGTAGCTCTAGCTGTATTCCCAGTTTACCCTTGCATGCTTCAGCTAGAAGTCCGCAATGCCTCTCACAACACATGATACCTAGCTAGCTCTCAGAACTCCCATTCCCCCTCATACCAGTCTGCTTGATCGTAACCATACCCAAGCCGCAAGAGAAAGAAAAGAAACCTGAATCGAAGCACAAAGCTAGCATGCCAGCCAGATGAATGAGTACATGGGTTATATGAGGCAAATAAAGGCCGGCTTTGAAGGTGAGTGACGTTGTCTCTACGTTTACTTTATTGTATTCAACTCTCCCGGGAAAGTCTTCTCTTCCTGGGCTAGGGTATTGTGATGATAATACCAGTGTATAGAAGCACTGGTACAGCGCGGCAGGAGGATTATTGAATAAGTAGATCGTGTTTCTTTTTGGAGTGTAGGCGTATCAACTACGTGCGTAGGGGAATGGTTGATTGGAAGAGAACTGACGAGGAGCGGAGGAAAGGGCTCGATGCAAGTCGGTAAATGTTTACTGGTATCACTGATGCTTTATTTGGTATCAATCGTCACTCGTCGCTGGGTTAAGTAATAAAACTAGCTAGTCAACATGGGTATATAGTACCGTGAAACTGAGCCAAACCGAACCAGACCAAAACAAATATAGAACCCGTAACTCCCTATTGAATTTGTAACCAAAACTCCAAAAGAGATATAGAAGGATAAAATGGTATATGATATATGATTGGATCAAGACGGTTGAGAAAGCTTCTCCCGTCGCTCAGCATACCAACGCTCCAAGCATGCGCGTCTCTGCGCCTGCGTCATCCCCTCCACGACAAGAGCGAATTCGGTTGCGTTTGGGAAGCCGTAACGTCTCGCCATGCTGCAGAATTGTCGTTTCATGACACGCTTTGGCGGATGAAACTTGTATTTGATTGGTTGCTTGGTTGAAGATGATGATAACTTTTTATGAGACTGGGACTGGGACTGGGACTGGGATCCTGCAAAGACTTGCATGTCTAGGTTCTTGTTATTCTCGTCAGCCAGTTCGGCGCGACGGCTGAGCCGCTCCTCGACTTTGGATGACCCGATGACTTCGTTGTTGAGGTGGGTGTATTCGACCCCTGCGCCGGCGAGGATGGCTTGGATGGGGTCATGCTTGGTGTTGATGGGGGTTTGGGGGTGGGCGAGTTCTTCGTCGTCCTCGCCGCGAATCATGGCTGCTAACTGGCTCATGACTTCGTTGGTGTCGTCGGATTTGCCCGTGAAGGTTTGGTCGGAGACATTGGGGTCGTAGTCTACGTCGATGTCCATAACCTGCACGCCAGCTTTGCTTTCAGCGACGTTGGTTTTGTTGACGATGTCGCGGAGAAGGATGTTCTGGTTCTTGTATTCGAATAGATTGTCCAGACCGAAGAGCTCGCCCTTTTGGTCTTTCTTCTCTTGAACACCCTTGAAGTACCGTCGTTCCGAGCTTGCGTTGTAGCCAATGTTGGCTTGTTGTTGTTTGTAGATCTGCCGGGCGTAGACGATTTCCTCGATGGTGCCGGCGGAGATGAGCCGGAAGACTTCAACATCGCGGGACTGGCCGATACGGTAGGCGCGATCTTGTGCTTGGAGGTCGTGCGAGGGGTTCCAGTTGGGATCGACGATAACGACCTTGTTAGCGGAAGTTATGTTGAGTCCGACGCCACCAGAGCGAGTAGAGATGAGGAAGACGAATTGGCGTGGATTGGAATTAAAATCATCAACGACTTTAGTACGCTCCTCGTAGCTCATCGAACCATCGAGGTAACTGACGTTATAGCTGGTGTAGTGAAAGAGCATCTGGAGCATTTTGAGGAGGCGCACGCTGTGGCTGAAAACGAGTACCTTGTCGCCATTGGCGTGCCACCACTTCAGCAGTCGACGAAGGACTTTCCATTTACCGCAGAACTCAGGGTTCGCGTAGTTGACGATTGAGTCCCGGGAACGGTAAAGCTTTTCCCATTGCTCGGGCACAGCCAGCTCCAGCATCTCTTTGTCCTTTTCTTGTTTCTCGTTAGAATCGACTCCCTGCGGGATGAGAATTGCCAGGTGGTTGCTGAGCTTCTGCAGCACTGCTATCGCGGGAAAGACGTAGCTTCGCCAGGTGACCCCAGATGGTAGAAACTGGCGACAGCACCAGCCAGCTTTCTGTCGGGAACCGCAGTCACAAGGGTCGGTAGAGTGTTTGATATAGCTGGCCATGTCGCTTCCCAGGATGTTCACGTAGGCGTCGGCCTGGGTATCAGTGAGCGGGCAGAAGACGACGCGGTCAACCTTCTTGGGAAGCTGGTCTGCAATCAGGGTCTTCATCCGGCGGAGAAAGAACTGCGGCAAGAGGTTCTCCACCAACTTCTTCGCCGTCGTTCGTGCTCTGCGCAGCTGATGGACGGTGGCGTCGTGTGACTGGCCAATCTTCAGAGGTTCAGAAATGGTCTTCTTCCAGACAGTTACCGGGCCAAGCTTCCCTGGGTTCGTCCAGTTGAGGAGTGTCCAAAGCTCCTCGTATTTGTTCTGAATGGCGGTTCCGGTCAAGCCGATTCGGCAAAGAGCGTTGATCATGTTCATCGCTTTAGTCGTTTCTGACTTGCGCTCCTTGATAATATGGCATTCGTCTGCTATCACACAGTCCCAATCGACCATGTTGATGGCATCCTTGTTGTGAAGATAAGTACTGTAAGTGGTTATCAAGATTTCCAGTCTTCCAGACCGCGCAGCTTGGAGTGCAAGCTCCTTGTTTTCACCATGGTATGTATCGAAATGCCACCAGCCCCAACGCGAAAGCTCAGCCATCCAATTCTTAAGAAGGGTTCCTGGGCAGACGATCAACGTTCGGGGATACCACTGATCGTGTCCACTTCTCCGCATCTTTCTCATTCGCTTTGCGTCTCTCTCATCGCCTGTCTTCCCATACGCCGCTGTGAGAAATGCAATGACTTGCACGGTCTTTCCCAGACCCATGTCATCTCCAAGGATCCCCCCCTTCTGGTAAACAAACAGCTCATGCAGGAAAGCAGCTCCATCGACCTGGTACTGGCGCAACCACTGTGCGATCGGGGCTGGTATAAGCCCCAGCGAATAAGGAAGGGTGATGTCCTTGTACTGATTGCATGGCGTCATATTCTCGAAAGCGGGCTTTTCAGCCAAAGATTCCAACCTCTCATCGTCGGAGAACTCAACATCGTCGTAGCTTGGCGGCAACTTCAGCCCGGATTGTTTTAGATACTCTGTCCTCCGGTCAAACTGCGACCGCCGTTTCTGGAGATAATCAGGTAAGGTGTGTTCCATCAGCTCATCCTCCGATGACAATTCCTCTCCATAGACCCGTAATGGCCGCCTCGGTCGGGCTTTCCCATCGGAAGTTGGGATTCGGCCGACGATGGAGTTCGAGGTTGCGACTCTCGTCACCTTAGTAGCTCTGTTTCTTAGGTTTGCGGTGCTCCGTTTCCGTTTCGTGGCCTTTCTGTTCTTGAACTCCCTGTAAGCGGCCTCGCCCTCATTGAAGGAGTCATCTCCGCTGTCGGTGTCGAGCACCTCCACTACTGCGTGGCTCTTCTTGTCGAGTGGCGAAGGGGATTGCTTGATCGTAGTTGGGGTAGTTGTTGGCCGACGTGGCGTCGTAACTTCAGACTTTGGGACATGGTCTCTATCTATGATCATCGAAAAGTCAGATATGTCTTGATATTGAGGTATAGATAAGGTGCGGGGACAAACCAGCGACAGGAAGCGAAGTAGGCTGTAAGACCAACGGGCGTGCCCCATCGAGATCATCATCATCCGATCCGACCGTAGTCGCGTCAGTATCCTCGATCTCCACGTGTGAGCCCATGTCCGCCTGAGCTCTGGCAGAAGCTATCTGGACCGACCTTTGAGGGGAAGGCAGAAGCAAGTGTAAGAGAGATGGAGATGCGGAGACGCGATGGAGTCAAACGGGCTTCCCGATTGGGCAAGCAGCTGACTGAAGAATTCCGCGCCGAAAAGTCAAACTCCGCAACCAATTCCCCTCTTCTCCGCCCATTGCTCGCCGTCGACTATAATCTGAGCCTACATACTGCGTCGCTTCGTGCCTGTACTCGAATTAAACTCTCCGATACGGCTTTAATAACTCTTCGACAAAATTTGACAGCGCATGGTGCGGGGAACCACGCCAAAACTTCCTCCATCTTAATTTCGGCATACCGATTGAAGCACCTCCCAGATCACAATGCCTCTCGACACATCCACAACATATCCCCTCACCAAGCTTCGCCTTGATGGCCGTCGCTGGAATGAGCTTCGACTGCTCCAGGCCCAGATCTCCACGAACCCCGCCAGTTCGGGCTCATCCTACTTGGCCATGGGCAACACCGCGATCCTGTGCTCCGTCCACGGTCCCGCAGAAGGACGTCGCGGTGATGCCACGGGTGGTGCTGCTGGATCAGCAGGTGCGGTAGTAGAGGTGGATGTCAACGTTGCAGGATTTGCTGGGGTGGATCGCAAGCGCAGAGCCGGCGGAAGTGATAAGTACGTTGCTCTAGACTATCATCATGTCTGATGTGTCTGCTGTGTCTGGTACTGACTATAACCTTGAATAGGCAATCTTCGCGCGTCGCAACGATACTACGCTCTGCTTTCCAGTCGCATCTCCATACCCACCTCTACCCTCACAGTACGATCAGCATCCACGTCTCAGTTTTGTCGTCAGACGGATCGCTTCTCGCAGCGGCAGTCAATGCCTGTACGCTGGCGCTTGTGGATGCCGGTATTCCTATGCCAGGACTCCTCTGTGGGTGTACGTCAGGAATGAGCGGCAGTGCGTCCACACCGCGGGACCCGAATAATGACACATTGGATCCGCTGCTGGACTTGTCTCTGCCAGAGGAGCAGGAGCTTCCGTTCCTTACGGTGGGGACTACGACGGCTGTACCAGTGGGCGAGGCGGCTATGATTAACGAAGATGAGGACGAGATGAAGGTAGCAATGCTGACGATGGACTCCAAGGTGCATTGCACATACGTTGAAACAATGCTGGCGGTGGGAATAGACGGGTGCAAGCAGATCCGGGAGATCTTGGAAGGCGTGATTAAGAAGTCGGCACGCCGGTGATAACTTGGATTTGGATTCTGTTTCTTTATATCTGCTATCTGGGATCTTCTACAGGGCAGCGCGATAGGGCGAGTTCTGTTTATACCCAGTGATTGCCATGGGAGGTGTTGGGCGCGGCGGGATGGATCGTTTCAGTGTGATATTTGACTATTCCAGCGAATACAGACTCGGTTGCTAATCCATATGCCTACTGTAGTATGTCTTCTTCACTACATTTTCTGGGCCCATTGGTCGAGGAGCTCCCTGACTAATGTGCTCAAATCCTCGCAAAGACCGTCTTCCCCATGACGCGGCAGGGACTCTGCTGTAGAGAGCGCGTTCTTACTGATTCGTATGGGAAATAACGTGTATACAAGAACACGGTCCTGAATGTCACGTATCGAGTGGTCAGAATATTAGTCACTAATTATTGCTTTCTCTTCCTCACTACTGTTCTTCTCTTCCTCACCAGGCTACTTTTCTGTCTTATCGTTCTCAACAATTGTCCTTATCTTCCTGTCATCTAGTATCCTCACTCGATAGCACCTGAACACCATAGACATAGACAGCATGGATATGACTGCATCAACCATTGACATCAGCACGGACTCACCCAGCTGCAAGGTTTCAGTACAACCTCCACCACCTCATACCAAATCCTAGGCTATCTACTAACCATGTCCAGATGCTCTGGAACTGGAACACCGTGGATGCATGTAAGTCCAGTCCAACACCACCAAACATCAAACCATATACCTAAGCACTAACAACACCCAACAGGCTTCATCTCCGAATCCTGGCACATCACATCCTCATGCATGTTCGCCGCTTCCTGCATCGGCATCGTCTTTCTCGTCATTTGTCTCGAACTCCTCCGTCGCATGGCCAGCGAATACGACGCGTTCATCATCAACCGCGCCAGGCTTAAAGCCGATACCGGGGACGATCGACCCGGCGTCACTTCCATAGACGACACATTTGCTGCCAGAAGACCAACGCCATGGACACCATCAGGTTCACTTTCAGCTCTGCCTCCAGTTCCAGAGTCACCACGGGAGTCTGAACCAACACCGGCTGCGCCAGCCTCAGCTACAAAACAGGACCAGACCCAATTCATCTTCCGGCCCAGCCAGGGTGAGCGGATCATCCGGGCCACCTTGCATGTGTTGCAGTTTGCAGTGGCTTATTTCGTGATGCTTCTGGGGATGTACTACAATGGGTACATTATCATTTGTATCTTTGTTGGGGCGTTCGTGGGGTTTCTTCTCTTTTCGTCCGGGAAGGTGGTTGGTAATGAGTGAGTTCGTTTCGACTTATCTTATGTTGGTGTTATTGTTGACTGACTGACTGACGATATACGTCGGATCAGGAACGACGCCACATCCGTGACTAAATGCTGCGGCTAGGTGGGTGTTGGAGCTTAGTTTGACATACTATCTAGTAGCTGGGAAGCTCGGAGTGATTGTTCTGTGCAGATGGTATGGATTTTAGTTTGTTGAGTATGGATGGAAGGATAGAAGGATGATGTATGGAGATAATGCTCTTTTTCAGAGCTACTATCTGATTCATCAAGTGTGGTTATCAAGGGGACGGTACCTATGATTGTTAGATTACTACGTCTACTGTGCATAGGACATAACGTTAATAAAAACTTAACACAATAGTATACTACATGTAATGAATATCCCATCCCTCATCCAGTATACCAAGATGAAAACACCATACACAGCTAGTTCTTTATCAACCCTAGTAAAAGCACCAATCAAACACCATCCATTCCCTACCACATAAAAGCTCACCCAGACCAAACACACCCCAACTTACTACCTGAAACAATTATAAAACAATTACAGAAAAAGTCACAGAATCTTCCATGTGAAACAATACTATCGTAGTAGTAGCTATAGCTATAGCTACTAAGATGATAATAAGTAGATAAGATAGTATCAGTTCATGATCCCGGATAACTTTAAAACCGGTTATCTTACTACAGTTATTTACTGGCGCGGGGAAACAGTTCATTCACCTTCGTTGAATGGCTATGCTGGCAATGCCACTAACTCAACCCAATCCAATCCAATCCTACTTAAAAAAACACACAACAACTACGACATGATACTCGTGATCCGATCACATCATATTTTAGCCCCCCAGCCTTGGCTGGGCCCTCGACTTACCCCTCACTTTTTACTTAACTAACTTTCGAGGTACTTACGTATACATACCATTCATCCATTCATCCATCCATCCATCTATGATACTATATCATGGTGCAGATCTATATTATCAATTAAAATCAAGGAAGAAAGAAAGAAAGTTGAAATAAAGGCTTTCCCTGCTCATACTACTCTACATTAAAGATAGGTAGTCTCATTAAGGCTAGCTGCATGCAACACAGCAGCACGCAGCACGCAGCAAGCAAGGAAAGCAAAGGAATGGGAAAGCCGGCCGTATTCGGAACCGGGAAACCAATCCGAGGGTCGAATTGCCAGATCTCGAACTTTCCCCCCTCCCTCCTCTCTTTCCCTCCCCCACCGGAGAAAAGAGGGAGAGAAGTTGTTGGAGCGGGGTTGAATTGTAGTACGGGCTTAGTGCCAGTCTAGGTTGCCACGTTCGTGGGATTTCGTCACAGTGTGCTAATTTACGAGGTGGAAATTATTTCGTTTTTCTGTAGATATTGTATGTAAAAATTATTGGCTACGACGATGGTTGACTACACTGCAAATACTCAACTACAACGGCACTGGCTTGGAGGAAACTTATTGACAACTGGTATGGACACTCTAGATTACACCGGGTAGAGGGATAAAGAGAATTGTCCACCATTAACCCTCACGATGCTGGTTTACACCAGCCCGTGGGACGATATCCCAATTTTGCCATCTGTTATCCTTGAAAACCGCTTACAACTCACCGCAGTCGACGATGGTGGGCTTGACGGCAGAGCGGACGGAGCCGGAGGAGGAGCCGAGAGCCTCAATCTCCTTCACGACCTGCATGGACTGCTCATCGGCAACCTCACCGAAGACGACGTGCTTGCCATCGAGCCAAGAGGTGACAACGGTGGTGATGAAGAACTGGGAGCCGTTGCTGCAGATGCTGTTAGCTGCCTGGGGCCTAGGTTTACGAGCGACAGAAGTAGAACTTACGTGTTGGGACCAGCGTTGGCCATGGAGAGGAGACCGGGCTTGTTGTGCTTGTAGATGAAGTTCTCATCGGCGAACTTCTCACCGTAGATGGAGCGACCACCAGTACCCTGGATGATCATATCAGTCAAATCCTTCTCTCCCATACAGCCGCCCACGGAGGCGGGGTCACAATAACAGAATTACTCACGTTGTGGCGGGTGAAGTCACCACCCTGGAGCATGAACTGGGGGATGACACGGTGGAAGGTAGAGCCCTTGTAACCCTGACCCTGGGGAAGCTTGCAGAGCTCACGGAAGTTCTTAGCAGTCTTGGGGACGTCCTTCTCGAAGAGGTTGAAGACGACACGGCCCGTCTTGGCTAGAGAGCAGGGGAAGAGGTCAAAGTCAGCCAAAGGATCCAGCAACCATTGAGAGAATAGACGTCAATCAAAGGGCAGGAAAAGAGATTCGTGATTGTGGGAGTGCTTTCTTTGGAAAGCACCCCCAGTACTTCCACTTTCTCTTCAAAGGAGGGGTAAAATCATCCATGCAGAAAAAGGGTGACGACAGCAGTAGAAGGACGATGAGAAGAAGAAGAAGAGAACAACTTACGGGCGCTGGAGCCCACGGGGGCGTACTGGATATCAAAGAAGGCCTTGGTGTTTCCAGACATGGCTGCGGATGATTGATGGAAAGGACGAAGAGAGAGGAAGGAAGATTGCTTGCAATTGGGGATGGAGAAGAGGGGACGAGAAGCGAAGGGCGAGCAAGGTGGGGTTATTGTTGACCTCAGGCTTCGGGAGAACATTGTTGCTGGAGGGGCACTGGCTGCTAACCGCTTCTGTCCTGTGCGTCAGCCCATGCGCGCCAATCATGCAACTTGCCAGGCCATCCGCCGTGGGCCTCAGGCCGCTCCGTGGAAGAACATGGAAGTCCCCCGACCGTCCAGTAAGTAAAGTAGCTACCAGCTAACTAAGTAGCTTCTCACTCCAAGCAACCGGACCAGGGGGGTGTGCTGCCATTGGTTCCCCCCCCTAATACCATTGGGGTCGGCCAATGCAATCGGGATGCATCACTTACAGTACTATCTAGAAAGGATGAGGAATAAGAATATCTTGTCTCAACGAATTGCCCGTAGCTGGGTGCTTGCTGCTTTGCTGGCGTGGAGAGCAAAAAGAACTGGAGAAACCGCGTCGGACAGCGGAGGAAAATATTCCTGCTACTGCCCCAACCGGGGATAGCTCATGATTAGCTAAGACCCGGTTCGGACGGAAGCTTTCCAGAACCAGATCGGGTTCGTTTCTCACTTTATTGGAGCTCGACAGCTGGTCGGACACGTGATTGACCATTCGGCGCACACCTATGCTCTACTACATACCAAAGCAATTCTTCTACTTTTCTCGGATATCTACCAGGCAAATTGTCAACATTTAATACTTCATTCATCGCGGAAAGCAATGGCCGCAGCCAGTGAATACAACCATCACCAAAGTCTATCTATCGAGCCATCTAAACGGACTCCAGGAGAATAATAACCACGGCACACAAGAGAAAGAAGGCCCCCGTCTGAAAGTCAGGAAGAAAATAGAAGCAGTTTCGGGAGTTGAACGTGTAAAGAAAATGCCGCAGTATAATTTCAGAAGAAAACAAAAAAGAAATCCAGTCCCACAAGGACCATCATGCAGAGAGGAAGAGAAAAGCGCTAATCAAATAGAAGCAGAAAGTATCAATCGCAAATCCAGAACAAATCAACAGAAGATAAAAAGTGGTAGAAGCTCAATAAAAATACATCGCTCCCGAATTCAGGGTGCGTCTGGTAGAAAACAAAAATCTGTCGTAAAGCTCCACCTGATTACAACACGTCGTTCCACATGGTTGCTCGTTGTCATGCGTGATAACTGCAAAAGTAAGGAAAGCGAGATTGCAAGGTCCAGCAGTTCGGTTGGTATCATGGTGCCAAATCAGCATGCTAGAAAGAGATAGAAGTGAAAAGAGAATAACGCCACTGCGATTCTCGGGCTGAAGAAGTCTAGAAAGAAACAATATCATGATGACCGTCAGGCGGATGAACTATCGGAAATCGTCGTCCTCCTCAAGGCTCGCGGGGTCCAATTGATGAGCAAGCTCCTTGGTAACCCGCGGAATCTCGAAGGCGATAGGTGGAAGCTTGTTGGTTACTTCCCGAAGCCCCTCGGGACTGCTAGAGGCCTCGCCCTCGGCCGCAGCGCCTACAAGGCGATGTTTGTGGTATTCCAACATCTCGAGGATAGGATCGATGCGTTGCCGAAGAGCCGGGCTAGTCTCTGGTCTTTTGATGAAGTGCTGGGTCGATGAGGTAACGTTTGTCACCACAGAAGAGATAGCAGAGACATGGGTGCTGATTGTGGTCAAATCACGCTCGGCTCGGATGCTGTCAATGAGGGTTTGGATTGACTGAACCAGGCCATTCGTCTGATCCTCAACGTAGAGCTGTCGCCTCAATTAGCACACGTTACTTGTAATTAGAGATATTGTAACATACCTTCATCTCCTGAAGTTCGTGGGTTTCAGCTTGCGAGGTATAGTCTTGCACTGTCACTGAAATTCCGTTGGGAGCGTCAGGCGGGGGGCCTATGGCACTGTAGACGGAGTCATTGCGACTGTGGCGGCTTTGGCTAGGAGCCACGCTGAAGTAGTCAGGGGACTTCAATTGGCTAAGCTGAACCTCATCGTCGTCCTCATGGGACTCATCAGGAGGAGTAGATCGGATCTTTACGAGGCGAATAAGTTCAATAACAGCAGCCGACAGATGAGAAGCGGCGGCATCCAAAAGGGAGACCGGCGAGAGCCCATTTGACTTCACGAAATTCTTGGCGGCAGTGATCAGATTGTTCGCGGTGGTGGAAAGCTTGCTTATAGCCTTAGAACGCAGGGCCGATGACCCATCGCTAGGATCTTGGCTTTCTTGCACGTCCTGCAGCATATGACGTACCGCGATTACGACAGCATTGATCTGTCGTGTCACGACATGGTAATCGTCGTGGCGTGCAGTGTGCAGCAGCTCATCAATAGAAATCTGGAACTTCGCGACATGGACATCCTTGACCAAGCCATTTTCATGGAAAATATCACGATCCCTTGTGAGAGTTGCGGCATCGGAACGAATTTCTGTCCCGATAGATGATGTGCGAAGGTGTCCTGCCTGCGCCTTTGCCTTCTCATAGCGGGTCTTCCACTGTTTAACCTGTTCCTCTAATCTGTGAACCTCGGTCGTAAGTTGCTCCTCGTGCTCCCACCGGGACTGGCTTTGCTCGGACAGCTCCCTCATTTCCCTCAAGAAGCCAGCTGCCTCCCGTCTGACCTCTTCTGTCACTGACCGCTGCTCTTGCAGCTCAGTCTGCAGGCTTTGATGCTTGATCTCGAGATCAGCAAAGCGGGCCTGCAGCTCTGGATCTCCACTGCTTTGCCGTGAAGCTTCTTCCAACTGGTTCCGGAGATCGTTCTCAATGGCCTCATGCTCGGCCCGAACCTTGTCCAGTTCAAGCTGCAAGTTGCTGTTCAAGTCCTCTGCCTGCGAGATTTTGCTCTCTAGGTCCGACTTCAGATCCTCCCATTCTTGGCGCTCGCGACTACTGACCTGTGAATCCGGTTAGCAAGCGCAATCCATGAGATCAAGGAAGGTCGTCTGCCTACATCTGACGTATTTTGACTTTCTCGGTATTTAGTGAGCTCCTCGTCCTTAGACTTGACCAAGTCTTCCAAGGTCTCCACCTTGTTCTGACCTTCCTGGTACCTGGATATCTCCTCATCCTTGGATTTCAGTAGGTCCTCGAGCTTGTTCACCTTATCCTGCAAAGCAGAAACCTGCGACTGAGTTTCCGCCAAAGCCTTTCTGTCTGCGTCGGCGAGAGTTGCCCCTGTCCCCCGCCGACTTTGCAGAACCGCATCCAGAGCAAATGCATCGCTCCGCGCATCGTAATCGTCCTCTGTGCCAACTCCATCATCATCATCCTCGACCATAGTACTTTTGTTCGGAACTATGGTGTTACTTTGGAATGATTTGGCCATTGGACCATCACCATTCATGCCCGGAGGCGGCCCGCCAAGGGACCCTTGGCGTGGGGGATACATCGGACTGGCTGGAGGTCCACCAGAAGGATAGCCCATCCGAGACGGAGGCCCACGAGACTGTGAGCGCGGTCCGCCCGGCGTCGGGGGGTATCCGTTTGGTGGATAGCCGTTGGATGGCCGCCCGCGGTAGCTGGGAGCCGGGCTCAGCCGCCGGGATTCCCTAGAAGGGAATTGGGGAAATCGTCGCTCTAACTCGGTGTAGACATCCGTCGCCAGATCCCGGAAACGCTGATGCTGAAGTGAAGCAAGCTTTTGACGCGCCTGATTGCGCTTTTCATGGAAGTCCTTGCGCGGTGGCAGGAATGGAGGAATATCGGGACGAGGGGGTCGATTCGGAGCCGGCATGGCTGCTTGGCGTCGGAGCAGTTCATCATAAACGTCGGTACTTAATTCGTGAAATTGAGTTGCGGAGAGTCGTAGCAGCTTGTCCCGGGCTTTGCTCGACTTGCTTGCTCGGTCATCGCGATGAGACGCATTGAGGAACCTCCTGAGGGCAACATAGTGTTGACCTAGGACCTCCTCCATCCGCTTGTGTCGCTTGCTGCGTTGATCCGACAATGTACCATCGCTAGATCGCGCTGCCACCGAGCTTGGAGGAGACGGGTTCCCGGCATCGCTGACCGGGCCCGACGCACCATTTGTAAGTCCTGCGCCATTTGAACCGCTGGGTACGCCCGAGGTAGGGGGAGTGGCCAGGGCGCTGCGAGTCGAGAAGGTCGGGGAGAAAGGCGGATCCGATTTTTGATACTGATTGATACCGGACCAGTCACTTCCGTCCACGGAGACAGGCGACATAGTCCCAGAAGGAGCGTTCATAGGGGGGTTTGCTGTCGGTAGGCCCGTGGGCTCCGTACTTGCTGACAGGAAGGAGAGATCTGGGTCGGTCCAAAGCCAATATGCTTGCCACTATGCATCCGAGGTAGGGTGAGGTTGCGACCGCAAGGCCATTGATGAGAACTGAGTATAGGTTTCTGTCTGAGGATCGGAGGATTTCGCTCGTGGCGGGTGATAAGGAATGGACGGCCGCTGCGACTGGGGGGTGGAGGTGGAGGGAGGGAAGTGCTAAGGCTTCCTCCGAACAGAATGAAAACAAAGGAAGGAGGAATCCGATGCGGAATGTAGAATAGAACGTGCCGGAGGCACCTGTGTCAACAGAAGTCGGCACAAGGATAGGACTGGTCACCAAGAGGCATACCAATTTAATTAATTAATTGTAGCGACCACGAAAGACCTAAAGCGGCGGCCTTTGGGAAGGGGAGGAAAATAGATCAGTAGGGATTGGACCCAGGCAGAAACAAGCAGCGGGAGAAGCAGCAGCCACCGCCGAAGTTGACCTGGGTTTGGCGACGCCCCAAGAAGTGGAGTTGGAAGAGGGCCGGACTAGGGAGTGGCCGAACTTCTTTTGGGGGGGAGAGACTCTGAACCAAAGGGGGGGAATAGTGATGAATGAATGAATGGATGGATGGGATGGGATGGGCTGGGCTAGAAAGATGGAGCCTGGGGGGACGGGCGGAACACGATGGTGAGCCAGTGTGAGCCAACGACGACTTCCTCTTGGAACGGGAAATTATTTGGCGGCTGATGGAAGATACATCCACAATACCCCGTTACTTTTTTTCCCTACTCATGGAGATTACCGCAGTACCTTACTAGAGGTATCTATCTAGTATCTACTAATTAACTGGAAATATAAGCAAAAGAACTCAATTCATACCATACATACCTAGAAGGTATGGTACGGTATGTTCGTACGACCTCAACCCTCAACCTCCATGCCAGAGCGGCTGTCGCGGAGAAAGTCCTTCTTTTACTTTCTCCACGGATCCTTTTGCGATCTTGAATGTGCGATCATTCCGGGGGTACATTAGTAGTATCTTTCTGACCCCATCCCTACTTCTATCGAGAGTAAAGCTGAGACATTCCCATCATGACATCGGGCACTAGACTTGAGTGGGCTTGCTACAGCTACTTTCTGAGACAAGCAACCACCTTCTTTCTAGTTCCTACTTACCCTATGCCCCGGGGTAAAGACAGTACCGCGCGAATGGCT